GTTACTATCTGTGTTATTCGTAAAAATGTAGATTGTGATTTATATATTTTCAAATGTTCGCATTTCGACTTACGTTTTCTATTTTTCTTTTAGATGGATTTCGATAAAAAAAAATCTATTCCATTACCTCCAATAGCTCAAAAAAAAATCCATGTCTATTTCCACTGTATAAACAAAGCCTAAATTAATCTCATTCTAAAAATTTAAGATTAAAAGGACAACACCAAAACCTAAAATATAAGGACGCGCGAACAACAAAAAAACGAAGACTCGACAAGCGCACTCTCCTCTGACGTCACAAAGGCATTGTCCGAACTCTCGATACTAATTTAGTAAATATACAGGTATGTTTCTTATCATTTCACTCCTTCGGTGGCCCTCAGATGACGAAATTAAACTGAGCAACATTTGTGAATGAGAAATCTTCGATAAAGGAATGTTATTACTATTCTGAAGAAATTCTAGAATTTATAATGTAAGGTTAATCCTTCCTTTACCAGGTATGTCCTGTAGGTGCGCAAAACAATTTACTCTTGATAGTATCTTAATTGCATCAAATTCTGCATTCGAAATTTGCTGTTGTTTGGTAAGTGACAGTTTGATAATATAATTTGGTATGCCAACAATTTGTCGAAAATATATTTAACGTGTTATATCCGAAATATTTTTATATTAATCCAGCACACTTTGTTAAATAACCTGTTATATCTATAATGACACCAACAATCTAATCTTCATATACTGGAAATAGTACTTTAACTCAATAAAATCATATTTTTGCCGCCAAAAATACCACACGGGTGTTTTATAAATCCCATTAATGCAAAAAATTATGGTCATACTTAGTTAAGATACTATGCCACATCTCGCATCAAATGCCATTAGTAAATAGATTAATGAATGAAAAATGAATAAATCAGTAATGCAGATAATTTGAATAAACAGCATTCTATAAAAAGACACTCAGTTCGTTGCCTGATTAGAGCATTCAATAATCAAATCATGATGGGTGTTGCATGAAACTACATTTTTAAAAAATCGTTTACGGCCTCTTCAGTGATCTTAAATCATACTTTTGATCTATTTCGTTTTTTCTTTCTTACCTCCTAAAGATGCTTTAAAATATACGAATCTGTAATCCATCATCCCTTTTCAAATAATTTTAGTCCCGCATCCCCCTCCCTCGCTATCTTCCAGTTCCCGCGCGCCAAAATTCAAACTTCAACGTCCTCTCCCTGGCCCAGAACAAAATCAAAATTCGCACCCTGCCATCATGTCCATAAATCGTCCAGAATCCAACCCATCAATCCATCTACCATGAACAAAACAACGGAGTTCCCACTAACATCATTTCACAAGTTAACCCACCTCGCCTCCGCACATAAACACATAACCGTGGCAAATATATCAACAAGGTAATGATTGTCATCGTGTTGTTGGCACAAGAAACAGCCTCCGCCCTCTCCCCTCCCCCCCCCCCCTTCTCATGACATTCCACCACCCTCCCCGCCCCCCTTCAGCGGCTCACCTAATAAATCAAACAAGCTTACTCGTCTTCTTGATTTCTTGAATTTTATAACGGAATTTGTGACTTCACAGAGCGATGATAACCGCCGCATTCAAAAAAGGAAAGAAACAAAACTCGTAATCTCCTCGCGGAAACAAATGACACTCGCAGTGACATGAATACATTCGTTAAATTCAAAACATTAAACAAAGAAAGGAAAATAGAGCATGAGAAAGAGAGAAAGAGAGAAATCAAACCAAAACAAACAAAACAAATTGATTGGATTTCCAAAACGTATTTTCTGTCATCATTTATTTCCACATTTCACATCAGTACAGCAAATGATGCATGTAACCTTTAGAAAAAAGTAACATTGCAGATAGAAAAGGATGATAGTCACCACAGAGAATGCAATAAGGTATCACACGACAATAATATTTTTCGCGTTTTAACTCTCGGTGTGTGGTTGAGCGCCCATAAAGAATTATACTACATTAATTATCTCCTTTGTTCAGTATTATCAGAAAAAAGACATCAAATAAAAAAGAGAGATCATATCCGCACATACTTTTTTCCTTCCATTTATATATATATCTAAATATCAACAAAATCTATACTGTCCTACGTAGCCCTCCCCTCTTCAATAATGTTCTAAACCCGAGTAACAAGAAACACACATCTTGATATATCTGAGTATTAACAAATGCTGTGCCTGAAAGTCGTAGTATCAGTAAAACGGAATACCTATTATGCCTAAATATATCATTTAACAAAGAGCCCCTTTTCATTGCCTGGTGTGCGGTCAAAAATCGGGGAAATTGCTTTGTAAAACACCCAAAAAGAAAAATCCCTTACGCTTTAATATCATCTGTTATTCTTTTTTATTTTTTACAAAAATGATTTACATTATAGATAACCCTAAATGCGATATAATTAAATGCTAGGGACCTACTGATACTTTTCCTACACGAGGGTGAGCATGCTCTCTACCTC